ACTAGTGATGGCGGTTTTCTCGCAGCAGAACTAGTCTAGTTCTTCGGTGCGAAGGAGCGGAGCTCGCTGAGCTTCTATCGAGAACTCAGCGGGCTCTTATTGAAATCATTTTGAAAATTGGGTGACTAAAAACAAAAAGTTGTCGGGGGTTGGCTGGCGTCGTCGACGTGGCGGACCACGTTCCAGAATAGCAGAAGGCGTGGATAGACGTCTCCAGCCAAAACTGTCTCATGGAGGCATGAAAGAAAAATGACCATCATGGAATTCGAAACTGGGTTGCATGCTCGATAGTCGTGATTACTAGCGTAATGAGCTAACAGTTCATCTCTTGTGCGAAGAACTGTTTTGTCAAAAATAAGCGGGCAAAGCAACAGCCACACTTTCGCTATATTTTTACGCCGGTGGGCAGTCAACGGGGGACAGGTTGGTTACGGTCCGGTGTCGGGTTGACAATCGAGAGCTATTCGCGTCAAATCCTTGCTAGAATAATGTAGTATATTATATCCAACAATCACCAGTGTTGATTGTTGGAGCAGTTATTATGTGGTAATGTGGTGTAGTGGTTAGTAGTATTGGTGTAGGGATTAGATGATTGTGGGCTCCATTCTTGGTTAGGATAATTAGAGCCGACGATTTTACTCAGGACTTCACCCGAACGCACGTGTGCATGTAAGGCACACGTACTCACGGCACACATGCTGGCGTACTTTGTGACTCGACTCATGTGTCATCATGAAACGGTCAGAGTCGTTCGAGGTGAAGTCTCTAGAAAGGACTGGTCGAGTTATCTGAGATGACTTAACTTAGCGATGTAGCTGCAACTTGCCAAGGGCTTTCGCTTGGTTCTATTAAGTCTAATAGACCGACAGTGTTGATACTACGAACAGTGATAGGTAAACGCTTCTCCGTAAAAGTACGATAATGAAGAAGTTGTTGAATATGGTGTCGAGAACAGCACTACTATACGAGTGAAACCTCTGATATATATTTCTCACTACCTCGTTGCGTGCCAATGGAGAGCAATTGTCATTATCATAGTAGTAAAAATACATAATGAAAATAGTTGCAAAAATATGGAAAAAGTGTGATTACTCGGAGAGCTAGAGGTGACACGGACAGCTTCCTATTACAAACTTTCTACTGGACAAGAGCCTGGCAGACTTCACACATCTTATTAGAGGGTCGGTAGCTTCGAAGTGATTTCGTCGTTAATGTTAACAACTGCGGAAAATCCTAAGCACGAAGGAAACTCCTCAGAGGAAAATTTTCAGCCAGACGAAACTGAACTAGTAGTAACTGTTCTGGTGTCTCTGATTCGACGATCTGAGAAACACTCAGATGCAATCTGAAACCGAGTTCGAAGTGATCACTGAGAAGTTTGATGACAAGAACGACAAAGTAAGAATGTGATGTACTCCACTGGAGTTCCTTCCTAGTGATATGAAAAATATATTTCACGACTGCTGCATATCACCGCGAGCATTACGCCACTCTACGTAAAACGGGTGAAATTTTGATGAAGTACTCCAATGCAAAAATGCAACGAAAACTCAATACTTTACGACATATTGCAAGTGTATTATTCTTAGGATGCAACCGAGAGAAGTCAAGACGAGATGAATAAGGTGAGCGGTGATATTCATTGTGTTGAGAATTTCAACTTGGAAGCAAACATAGAATTTCTCGAAATATTTCATGCTGACCTCAGTAGTTCTCCATCAGTATATTATGATTATCATTCACCTACTACTTTTAAGTGTTCCAAAAATCGAAAAACATGATTTTAGCAGAACTTTTTTCCGCGTTACCCGTGTAGTTGCAGACTGGGACCCATTTAGTTTCGAGAGATGACGTTCACCTGGGTTTGATAATAATGAGAAAAATGTTCCTAATGTGATGACAGCCATGTGGAAAATTCACAAAGATTCCCCTCTCCGGGAACTTCATAGTTTCTTGTGTGATTGAGACGATTCGCAACGGAATTATACAAAATTGGAGTTCACCACGTTTGAAAAACACTAGGAAAAAATATACTTCACGACTACTGCATATCACCGCGAATGTCGGCGTTTTTACATGGAGTATTACCACTTGGCACAAAAAATGTATTGTGAAACTCCTTTGCTTTGCATGAAATATTCGATCGATGATGAGATGAGCCGCATTCTCTTTGTGCATGCAGGAAGTGGCTTACCAAGAAGAGTTGAATGATAACTCGTCCGTACTTCTTCGAGAGGTAGGCAGTATCACTCGTGACAATAACACGCACCTACAGTGCGTGCAAATGTGTGTTATTTTCCGAGATTAATAAGAATCGATCTAAACCTATATCGCATAAACAGTATGAACATCGCTATGAACAATCGATAGCGACAAAATGTTCGCTATCATCAATCCCAGAAAAGAAAAATGCAAATTCTTCATATTTGCATATCAAATTGGCACACACTTGAGCTTCACCCGTTCTACATGAAGTCGCGAAAAACGCGACATTGCGCTATGCAGTAGTCGTGGAATGTATCTTCAGACTAGTGTTTCCCATATCACCGGTGAAACTCCACTGCACTTCACAATGGAGTTTCACAACCCGTTTTACGTGAAGTGGCGTCGTAAAACTCGGTGAAAAACTAGGCGATATTCGCGCCTTGCAGTAGTCATGAAATATGTTTTTCACCAGTGTGTTTTTCATATCACTAGGGTGGTGAAACTCCAGTGTGTGATTGCCGAGCACGCGGAGGCTAGACGTATGCACTCCAAAACTAACTCGTACTACTCTCAGTGATCAACTCTGAGGCAAACATCAACACTACTACTAGCGGTGTATGTTCATCTTTCTGAGCTTCACATTGCGAATTGCATGTAAATTTCGAGAGAGAGAAGCTACAGAGCTTGACAAGAAATCTCAGGAGGGAAAATTGAGCGAAAAAATTGACAGTGTAAAGGAGTTTCACAACCCGTTTTATGTGAAGTTACCCAATATTTGCGGTGATATGCAGTAGTCGTGACATATATACTTTTCACATCAGGGCCTGTGAAACTCCGTCGTTGGTTTTCACCAGTGTGGAAGGAATTATGCGCATAATCGACTGAAATGGAACAAATTGGGGAAATTCCTGGAATTTCTTGTTGGTTCTTGTACGCTTGTGGCAGAATTCGTGGTTGAATTTTATAATTTGTAAGGAAACTTCTGAGGACAGAGCTGGAATATATGTTCGCTTTCCTCAGCCGAGCTCTTCACCAATGATATTAGTTTATGTACTAATCAGTGGATAATTTCCTAGTAAATCTCCCCAGCGTTTTCATATTGTCATCACCGACATGTGTAGTTAATCATGTGCATATTTCCCCCCACACTTGCTGAGGAGAGCAAGCATATATCGCTTCGGTGTGAAATTCGCTGTTTTAGGTGGGGAAAAATGAACAACAACTTCGTGAGATTATGGAGCTCAGAGAAAAGAAAAGTCACTTGGAAGAAATGCTAAGACAAGCGCAGGAAAGAAAAACACTTTTGATGAAGTAAAGTTGAGTGGGGTGGCTACTTCTCCGTGAGTTCGTGAAAATTTTGGGGAAAAGTCTTGGTGATTCCCGAACACTCTTGCCCGAATTCTATTACCGGAGTTTCACAACGACCCGTTTTACGTGAAACTCGGTGAAAAACGCGATATTTGCGGTGATATGCAGTAGTCGTGAAATATATTTTCCACTAGCGTTTTTCATATCACTAGGGTGGTGAAACTCCAATGTGTGAACTCGTATATACAATTAGTGAAGGAGCTCGCGACCTCGTGAAAGCGATTATATTTTTCATCATTGGCCGTGATATGAAAACATATTTCACCGCGAATATCGCGTTTCTCACATGGAGTATTACGCCACTTCACGTAAAACGGATTGTTGTGAAACTCCAATATACTCCATATATTCATCATCAGACTTATTTTCTTATTTGTTTTCATATGTTGAAGTTTCACAAGCCGTTTTACGTGAAGTGGCGTAATACTTTGCGAGAAACGCGATATTTGCGGTGATATGCAGTAGTCGTGAAGTAAATTTTTCGCTGATTTTTTTCATATCACGGCCTGTGAAACTCCATTAATTTACCCACTCAGTTTTATATTTTCATTATATATTCACCTCCAATTTTTTCATAATAATTTTTACATTTCCCGGTGGTGATATGGATGCTCCTCAGAGACAGAGATTCTCTCGAAGCGAGAACCGCAAAGTTAGTAGACGCGGAAAATAAAAAGGAAAATTGTGAGTTGTGTTATTGTTGGTATGTGAGGTGTCGTCATTCAGCTTGGAGAAATAACGTTCCCAAGGATTTGATAAGAATGGGGAAAATTATGTTCCTAATGCGATGATGTTCACATGGGAAGCTAGTTTAAGAATGTATTCCTAATCATGTAGAAAATTTTAAATGGGTTCCCCCCGGTAACATTATAGATTTGGGTGTCGTATTGGTTTTCATATGCTAGGTGGTAAAATTGCTGATAAAAGGAAGACAGAGTCGAAGGTGAAAAAAATTTTTTCGCAAAAAAATTATTTTTCCATCGCAGATTACAGATGAGAAGTATAAGGATTTCCTCAGGAAAGTTCACTCAGCTCGAGAGGCGCTGATTCGGCAAGAAGTGAGTAAATTTTGGGAAAATAATTACTTTTTTTTCGAAAATTTTTTCTGTTTTTTCGTCAGTGTAGGGAATACATAATCGCTTTTCTTGAGCGGAGTTTTATCACTAATTACACGAATTTGGGTAGAAGTGTAAAGAAATCATGAAAAATTTCTCGAAATTTTCATATCGTCACCAACACATGTAGTTGACCATGTGCATATTTTCTAGTACTTTTTCTCATGTGAATGTTAGAATATGTGCAATGTTTTTCTTGTCAATGTTTTATGAATTTCCAGCTAGTGAACAAATAGAGCAATTTGTATATAAACTCTTTCAATGATGTGAATCGCATGACGCGTTTTACGGGTGATTTATGCGTTTTTCGTGAAATGAAATATGTTTTTCATATCACTAGGGTGAAACTCCATTTTTTCGATCCTCCATTAAAATTTTTTATTACTATTGTTATTCACGTTCACCGAGGATTCTAAGATGATATGAAGACCATATTTGCGTTGACGAAAAATTCCTCTGAAAAAAATTAGCATATTTCAGTCTCACCCTAGTGATATGAAAAGCACTAGTGATAAATATATTTCACGACTACTGCATATCATCGCGAATATCGCGTTTTTCGCTACTTCACGTAAAACGGGTCGCTGTAAAATTTTTTGTAAATTTGTGATTCAGGTTGATAGTCGTGAAGCTATCGATGAGCTGCGAGCAGTGTTGGAGAATAAGCAAGCTAAAGTGGCCGAGTGCCACAATGCGTTGAGGCAATCTCGCTCGCCCTGAATAATTGATTAATAGTAAAGCTCAATATAATCGTGCGTGAAAAATTCACAGCATCGGATGTATATATAATGGGAGCACATACATCGTGGCCGATAAAGTCGGCCTCATCCTTCCTTTGTAACCTCTATGTGTGACTGTTTCGCTGCCCCTGAATAATCTCTACTATTTGAGTTCAATATAATCGTGCGTGAAAAATTCACATATATATACTCTGAGTGATAATTCATTTTCGATGAGTGTTTTTAGAGACTTCAAGAGGCATGTGGCTCGCGATAGTGAGTACATGCGCAGCGGGAAGAAGATACCGTTGAAAATCATCCAGGTGAGCGATTTTTTGTGGGTAAATTTTTACGGTGTTCCCATCTAGCTTTGAGAAATAACATTCCTCAGAGTTCGAAAATGATGTTCCTAATGTGATGACATTCACATGGGGAAAACTGATCGAAGAATATGGAAAATTCAAAATGAGCCCCCCCCGGGAACATTATAGATTTTTGGATGATCCACTGTTCGTAAAATAATAATATTTTTGATCATCAAAAATTATTTTTTGTTAATCATCAAAATATGATGTATCATAAAAAATAATTTGCTTCATAGTTTAATATTTTTGATATTTTTGTACAGCATTTTCACAGAAAATTGGAAAACGTGAAAAATGGTAGACTCCATAGTTCATTATTTCTGACAATAACAAGGAGCACATCATTTTCGTATAAAAAATGATGATTTTTTTTATGACATTTTGTGCAGGAAGTTGAAGATTTCGAATTAGACAAGAACGCGGAGCTCGAAGAGGCTCGGGCCACCCATATCACGTTGAAAAATAGGCTCGTGAAATTAGAAGCAGAATTACGTGGAAGGGATCAGCTTGCGGAAGGACTTCATATCATAGGTGCGTTATGATATCAATGGAATTACCATTTTGAATCTCTGTGTTGGAGATAGTATGCATTGGAGTTTCACAACGACCCGTGTTACGAGAAGTGGCGTGATACTCTGTGAAAAATGCGATATTCGCGGTGATATGCAGTAGTAGTGAAATATGTTTTTCATCAGTGCTTTCCACATCACGGGTATTTTTTGTGGAATAACTTCATGCTATGTGTGTCGAAAAGGTTTTTGAGCGAGAGAAAATTTCAAAAAATATTCAAGAAAATTCGAAAATTTCAGAAGCTCATGCGTTGTCGTTGGTGTTACTGTTAATATTTTTTCGCAGATTTCGAACAGTTGAAGATTGAAAATCAGACATTAAGTGAAAAGATTGGAGAACGCCAAGAGCAGGTACAGGAGCTGAAGAAGAAGATTATCACGACTATACAGGTTAGATTGTGAAAAATGGATTTGCCAGGATTTGAACCCGGGACATTCCGCATGGTAGATTGGATTCTTACGGTTTTAGGTATTGGCTCATATGCGAGAGAAGATGGGGTTTCTCGAGAAGCGAGGGGGGAGTATTCATTCCTCCCTCACTGAACTCGATAAGGTGAGAAGTCTTCTGTGGTGAGTAAACGATTTAGCTTTGAGGAATAGTGTCCCCTAGGGGTATTGGGAAAATGTTACTAATGTGATGACATTTATATTATGGGAAACTTAATTTTGCAGGATGTATTCATAGTCATTCTCGGAATTCAAAATATTATAGGATCCTGGATGGTCCCCCTGACGTTGATTCGTTCTTTACTATTTCTCTACGACTACATCAGTGGAGCTCTCGGGAAAACGTTATAGTTGATGCATATTGCAAGTAGAACTCTCCCAAGAGTCCGTTAGTAGCACCTCAAACAATGGGCAGGAGAGCGCACCAACGGAGCACCTAGGAAGGGAGACGGACAGCGAGAGAGCGAAGTCCGTAGCCCGCATCCCAAAAAGCGGTCGTTAGAGACCTCAGCGCGTGTGCTGACATTGGCCACCGCGCGAGGGGGCAGGGTGAACTCGGCAACTGCATAGTTCTACCTCGTTACACAAGTGTAACGTCCAAAAATATGAATAGCCCTAGTTTATGTCGAGTATTTTTTAGTCACTAATATTTCTATTAGTTATAATGTATATAGTTAGCATTTATCAAGATATGAATAGATATTAATAAATCACGATATAATTAACTATTATTCTTGTTCTATTATTAATGGTCACATATTACCTGTAACTAGATCTATTGGAGTTTAACAACCCGTTTTACATGCAAACTTGGGGAAAAACGCGATATTCGCGGCCTGCAGTAGTGTCCCACTAGTGTTTCTCATATCACTAGGGTGGTGAAACTCCATTGTATAAATAGATAATATTAATGATAACATATATTTTTTTGTGTCGTGTTGGAAATAAGGCTGTGGCAAGAAAAACACTCCGAACTCCGTTTTCTCTTCGCCTGGAAAGTCCAACTCGGTGAGGAATTATATGTTTGCTTTCCTCGACTGAACTTGTGGGTTTTTTCATTATGCATAATAACTATGGTTATTCCTTGCACCAAATAGCGTAATCGATAAGCTACAGCTATAACAGGGCGGGCGAACCTTAACAACTTGCGGGAGCTGCATATCATTTTTGGGTAGAAGTGTACAAAAGCCAACGATAATTTCCATATTTTCATCAACACATGTAGTTGACCATATGCATACATTCGTGTACAGGAAATAGTCGGGCAGCGAGAGTTGGTTGCCAAGACTAAGCGCGATCGAGATGGGTATCGCAGTGAAAGTGAAAGGCTTCGACAAAGGGCCGGCATAGTCGATTCGGAGCTCATCACGAGGGACTATGAGGAAAGGTTCCAGCTTGTGTGCATATGTACGTTGGTATGCTGTTTACTGCAGGAAAGGAAGAGTAGCAGAGCTGAAGGAAATCGTGGAGGCTCTAAAAGACCATTATGAAAGATTGCTTTCTTACATGTCACAAGAATGAGTGATTTCTGTGTGTGTTGGTTTGAGTCGTGTTTTCGTACAGTTTGGTAATCACTTGTGGATTAACTGAGATTTGGCTGATCGAAAGAAATTTAACTCTCTTGTGGTAGAAAAAATGGTGAATAAAAAGGACGCATTTCTGTCAAAACTACTATACCAACTCAACAACGACCTCTACCTCGAAGTAGAAAGTGTCGGTCCACTTCACTGTAGAAACACTACCAATAGTAGCAGGATATTGATGGTATTATACCATCGAATGGTGATAAAAAATCATAACGAAGAAAATGAAAGTCGTCATTATGATATCATCGAAGCTCATAATACAACTGACGAACAGCGACTACGGCCAAGTGAGCAACCGCGGAGACAACGTCACTGAAAGTGATGAGGGTAGAATCTCAATGAGAGTAATTGACAATGAACTTGGACGAAATGGTTAACAAGAGGTAGAGTAGTACAAAGTTTTAGATAATAGTGTTACGGCGAAGTCTAAAACACTCCTGGATGGTCAGGGAGGATTTTCCGAGGGTAGTCGAAATATTATTATTTAGCATTTAACAATAACTGTCTCACGACTAGCCTACCTCATGTAAACAACCTGGAGGCGATTCGGGCCAGGGAATAATCTAGAAACCTATAATGTTGGGAACTCATTTTGAATCTTCAATCAGTTTCCATCACATTAGGAGCATCATTTTCCCGATTAATATTAAACCCTGGGGAACGTTATTTCTCAAAGCTGGATGGGTCCCTGATTCGGGCGAGCTACACGTCTGAGTGCGTCGGAATGAGTGCTCTTGAATCACTCGACAATGAGATGCAGGCCTCCCTACTTCGTCGTCCGGCTCTCTTCCGTGCACTTTTCTCAGGGTTTCGAAATTTTACATTTTCGTGCAAGTATTGACTTGTAGTATTAATCGCGAGAAGTAACATTCGACATTACGACATCTTTCGTGTGCAGCTAATGCGATCTTACTGAGCCGTGTTGTCCTAG